CACATTTTTTGTAGTAGGTTTTTCCATTTGCTTTTTGTTGTTGTTTTTTCTTTGTCTAATCTTCTCTGTTTTCTCTTTGCCGGGACTTCAACATTGGAGACGGTGGACTTGGACCTGCTGGCACTTCATCGTTGGAGATGGTGGAATAAGGATTTGGAGGCAACTGGCTCTTCATCGTTGGATGACTTGGAGGAGGCTGGGAATATTGGATTGGAACAGCATGCCAACAACGCTGGAACAGAGGTATTGCTTAGTTGTTAAGGAAAAGCAGAGGTGAGTTGGTTTTATTATCATTTTTGCACTCTTACTAATGAGTACTAACATTTCCCTCCCCTCCCCCACTCTCAACACATTTTTTGTAGTAGTTCTTTCCATTTGTTTTTTATTCTGTTGTTTTTTCTTTGTCTAATCTTCTCTGTTCTCTCTTTGCCGGGATGTCATCGTTGGAGATGGTGCACTTCGAGGCTGCTGGCTCTTCATCGTTGGAGGGCTTGGAGGAGGCTGGGCATATTGGATTGGAACAGCATGCCAACAACGCTGGAACGAAGGTATTGCTAAGTTGTTAAGGAAAAGTAGAGGTGAGTTGGTTTCATTATCATTTTTGCACTCTTACTAATTACTACTAACATTTCCCTCCCCTCCCCCACTCTCAACACATTTTTTGTAGTAGTTCTTTCCATTTGTTTTTTGTTCTGTTGTTTTTTCTTTGTCTAATCTTCTCTGTTCTCTCTTTGCCGGGATGTCATCGTTGAAGATGGTGCACTTGGAGGCTGCTGGCTCTTCATCGTTGGAGGGCTTGGAGGAGGCTAGGCATATTGGATTGGAACAGCATGCCAACAACACTGGAACGGAGGTATTGCTTAGTTGTTAAGGAAAAGCAGAGGTGAGTTGGTTTCATTATCATTTTTGCACTCTTACTAATTAGTACTAACATTTCCCTCCCCTTCCCCTCTCAACACATTTTTTGTAGTAGTAGTTCTTTCCTTTTGTTTTTTGTTCTGTTGTTTTTTCTTTGTCTAATCTTCTCTGTTCTCTCTTTGCCGGGATGTCATCGTTGGAGATGGTGCACATGGAGGCTGCTGGCTCTTCATCGTTGGAGGAGGCTGGGCATATTGGATTGGAACAGCATGCCAACAACGCTGGAACAGAGGTATTGCTTAGTTGTTATGTAAAAGCAGAGGTGAGTTGGTTTCATTATCATTTTTGCACTCTTACTAATTAGTACTAACATTTCCCTCCCCTTCCCCTCTCAACACATTTTTTGTAGTAGTAGTTCTTTCCTTTTGTTTTTTTGTTCTGTTGTTTTTTCTTTGTCTAATCTTCTCTGTTCTCTCTTTGCCGGGATGTCATCGTTGGAGATGGTGCACTTGGAGGGGGATGGTTCTTCATCATTAGAGGACTTGGAGGAGGCTGGGCATATTGGATGAAATAGCATGCCAACAACTCTGGAGTGGAGGTTTTTTTGTATTTCTTTGATGTTAGGTCTATTTGTTATTTTAGCTCTTACTTTTTGGTTTATATTTTGTTTCCTTTGTTAGTATTTGTTGTTATTTGTTCATTAGGTTTTTATTATAATTGTTATTTGTTTATTGAGTTGTTATTTTAGTTTTTTGTTTGTGAGGGTTGTAAAAGTTGTTAATTTTCATGTTTTATTTGTTAATTGTTACATTATGTTTTTAATGTTTTTATTAGTTGACATTGTTATGAGTTTCAGTTATTTGTTATTGAGGAAGTCATGAATTTTACTTGTTAGGAGCTTAAGTTATTTGCTGTTGTTGTGATTTTTAATTATTTGTTATTGTTATGAGTGTTAGTTAGTTGTTATTGTTATGAGCTTTAACTAGTTGTTATGAGTTAATTTATTTGTTACAGTTATGTGTTTTAGTTATTTGCTTTTGTTGTGATTTTAAATTATTTGTTATTATTATGAGTGTTAGCTTAGGTTGTTATTGTTATGAGTTTTAGTTATTTGTTATTGTGACAGTTGTTTTTAGTTTTAATTAGTTGTTATGAGTTTTATTTATTTGCTTTGGTTGAGATTTTTATTCATTTGTTATTGTTATGAATTCTTGATAATTGTTACGAGCTTGATTTGTTATTGTTATTCTAATTAAAAGAATATGTCTAATGTTTATTGTTGCATTGTGCATTAGCATCATCAACATTAGACATGTTGGATATCGAGGAAACAGTGTGTTTCACCCAAAACATCTGTCTTAGTGAGGGCCTTATTACAGTAAAACTCTGTTATAATGAAGTCACTGGGACCTAAGTAATTACTTCGCTATATCCATGATTCCTTATATCCGAATAAACTATTTGTTAAATATATAGCTGGGGATTCAAGATAACTTCACTATATCCATGAATTCACATTTTCTTTTGTTCATACTAAATGAATTTCAGCTCTATTCTAAATTTTTTTTAGTATTTTGTTGTTGGACAATTCACTCAAAATGAAGAGGAATATAAGCCAAATGTAAACCATCATCGATAAGGTAAGACAGAAAATTTGAATTTAAGAATTGGGAAAAATGAAATGAAGTATTATATTGTTAGAGAACAGATTTATAATGTTCCATTTCAAATCAATGATATACATCCAAACTTCATAGTAATCACCTTTATACAGCAGAGATCTTTCTTAGGTGGTCATTTTATTTTTTCCTAATGAAATATCCTATAAAACTTTATTATTAAGTGGTCACCTTAATTATGCAATCATTTTAAACAAAATAAAGACCAAAAATTTAAGGAGCAGAGTAAAAGTTACAAATCTGAGAAATGAAGAAAATGAAATCATAGTTGAAAGGGACTGACCAGGGTATTTTAGTGTAAAATGCATGCAGTGAAATAAAGGTCTTAATATTTTTAGCAGATGAACCAAACTGGCCTTGGTGGAAACAGCATATGGACCCAACAGGACTTGGTGGACTTGGTGAATACAGAAGATGGACCCAACAGGGCTTGGTGGAAACAGCAGATGCACCCAACTGGACTTGGTGAATACAGAAGATGGACCCAACAGGGCTTGGTGGAAACAGTAGATGCTCCCAACTAGACTTGGTGGAAACAGCAGACGCACCCAACAGGACTTGGTGGAAACAGCAGATGTGCCCAACTGGACTTGGTGAATACAGAAGATGGACCCAACAGGACATGGTGGATACAGCAGATGGACCCAACAGGACAGGGTGGATACAGCAGTAGGACCCAACAGGACAGGGTGGATACAGCAGATGCACCCAACAAAATATGGTGGATATAACTGGAGGAGACTTGCCTGATGATGTTGACCTTCCAAACAAGATATATCAAAGGAGATAACTGACACTGATCAGGTACCTGTAAATGACATAGTAATGATTAAAGATCATCTAATTAACCATGTCAAATTAACTAGCTGAATTTTTATTTTTAGCCTGGATTATTTTTAACTCTACTGGTCAGGGACAAAAATAGCTGTGATAGTAAACAAGGACATGGCATGATTTAAACAGCTGAGGAGGCAGGGCCAATGGATGCCAATCTTCCAAGATGTGGAAATAGCAGATGTTCTCAACAAGACATATGTAACAGCAGATACACCCAACTGGACATGGTGGATACAACTGGAGGAGACTTGTCCGATGATATTGACCTTCCCAACAAGACATTTCAAAGGAGATAACTGACACTGATCAGGTACATGTAAATGACATAGTAATGATTAAAGATCATCTAATTAACTATGTCCAATTTACTAGCTGAATTTTTGTCCCCCACTTGAAAAGTGGGGAATATTAATATGGGTCTGTCCGTCTTTCCGTCCGTCCGTCTTTCTGTCTGTCTGTATTGCTTTCGTTTCCACATGATATCTCGAGAACCCTTTGAGCTTTCGCAATGAAATTTTGCATAGCAACTCCCTATGGACTAAAGAAGAACCCTATTGATTTTGAGGTCAAAAGGTCAAGGTCATAAATTTGCAAATTCTGTCTTTTATAACACTTTCATTTCCATGCAATATCTCAAGAACTTTTTGAGCTTTAGCAATGAAATTTTACATAACAAATTCCTGTGGTCGAGGGAAGACCCCTATTGATTTTGAGGTCAAAAGGTGTAAGTTCAAGATCGTAAATTTATACATTCTGTATGTATGAAACACTATCATTTCCGGGCAATATTTCAAGTAGATTTTGAGTTTTTGCAATGTAATTTTATACCAAAACTCCCTAGAACCTCTCTCACCCCTCTCAAAGTGTCCCGCCCCTACGTTTGTTTAATTAGTATTTATTGTATTACATGTTGCTATTTTTAGCACAGGGGCATGAGGAGAGTTATTACATATAAAGCAGGTTCTCGGTGAATTTTATATTCTTATTACATCTATTAGAACTGTTCAATAAAGGTTAAATTAGATATCATGCATTGTGTAAAATTTTGACAATATCGAATGTGAATGTATACATGTATGTGACTTCATCTTTGCATATAATTTTCGCTAGTTTAAAGCGGCTCCGTAGTGGTATATCTCTTGCTTCACATGTGAGAGGGCCCGGGTTCGCATCCCGGGCGATCTAAGTTTTTTTTTTTTCAAAATACTTTTTTTTTTTACTAAATGATAGTATTCATGTAAAATGAAAAATTTATGAGACCTGGCTTGTACAAACTCAAAATCATCATTACAGTGTGATAAATATTCCCTATAAAAAAAAATTATCTATACACATAATAAAAAATAAGCAATCAAACCTTTTTATCCATATTGGCATATTTTATTTGCTTCAGTATACATGTATACATTTAATAATTATTCAAATTCAGTCAAGGGGATCCGACACACACACCCCCCCCCCCCTCGAACTGTGCATGGTTTACTTTTTCCCTAAGTGGGGGACACAAATTCTCTGAATTAGCTTGTTATTTTTAGCGTGGATTATTTTTAGCTCTACTGGTCAGAGACAAAAATAGCTTAATGTGATAGTAAACAAGGACATGGCATGATTTAAACAGCTGAGGAGGCAGGGCCAATGGATGCTAATCTTCCAAGATGTGGAAATAGCAGATGTCCTCAACAAGACATGTGTAACAGTAGATGTACCCAACAGGACACTGATAGAAACAACTGGATGATGCACAGCCAGTACATGCTGATCTTCCAAGAAGAGGAAACAGCAAATGCACCCAACAGTACATGGAGAAAACAGTAGATGCACCCAAAAGAACCTGATAGAAACAGCTGGAGGATGAATAGCCAAAGGATACTGATCTGACATTTATTAGGTATGTGACATTATCATAATCCAAGATCATTTTATTAACAAAGTCAAGTTAACTAGCATGCTTAAAACTTAGCTTATAAGTCTTATTTCTTATAGTCAGCAATAGCTGACTTTTGTTATGGTGTTCAACCAGATAACCCACTTCTCTACACCATATAAAATTTTTGCATAAACATGTAAAGCATACCTTAAATCATTGTTAAGACAATATGAACACGTTAAAAAAGTTAAATGTGGATTTCCTAAACAAACTTCAATGATATATTTTCTCAATTGTTTTTTTTTTCACTCTTACTGCAGCTGCAGCAAACAGAACTTTGTGGAAACAGCTGGAATAGACAAGCTTGATAATAATGTTGCAAGATGAGAAAACAGCAAATGCACCCAAAAGGACTTGGTGAAAAAATCTGGAGGAGGCAAGGCCAATGAATCTTGAGGCAAACTTTACAGACAATGATTTTCTAATATGCGAAAACACCAACTACACCCAAAAGATATTAGTGGAAACAACTAAAATAGACAAGCCTGATGGACACTATGGTTTTCAAGATGTGGAAACAGCAGATGCACCCAACAAGACTTGGTTGATTATACAACTGGAGGAGACTTGCCTGATGGATGTTGACTTTTCCACCAAGATACCACAGTGGATAGCTGATACTAATCAGGTATGACATTATCATATTCCAAAACCATCTTATTGTATAAATACAATGTAATAAACAGGTCAAATCTTTAGTTGACAAGTAGGCAAAATTTTTAGTCCAGGGCACATTTTTTTTTCACATATACGATCTTATTTCCATCTTCTTGGCAGTGATTCAGTACAGTGTGGCTAGTGACCATGCGTACTTTAATAAGTGAACTTCTTTGTGAGGACATTTCATGGGTTTTTCTGTGTTTAGGAGCTCTTTAATTAGAACTTCGAATTTGACATGCAAAAAAAAAATGAAATTTAACTTATTGAATGGACCTTTGATACAATGAATAAATCTTGAATAATTTTCTTCTCAAGAACAACTAAGCAATGATTGGTCATATTTTTATTGAAGCATCCCCAGAAAGTATTTGTTCAAACCATGATGATCCCTTAAGAGTAAAGAGAGGCCACAACTGGGGATCAAAGTTTATATACAAAGAAATATAAAGAATTTTTATACCCCCCGCAAACGAAGTTTGGGGGGGTATATAGGAATCACCTTGTCCGTCTGTCCGTCTGTCCGTCTGTCTGTCTGTCTGTCTGTCTGTCCGTCTGTCCGTCCGTCCGTCTGTCTGTCTGTCCGTCTGTCTGTGCAATCGTGTCCGGTCCATATCTTTCTTACAGAGGGACATTAGAATCTACTACTCCACACTAAGATTGCTCATGACCTAAGGGTGTGTCATGACCTTGACCCAAGGTCATTTGGGGAAGTTCAAGGTCACTGGAAGAAAAATTTCATAATTCGTGTCCGGTCCATATCTTTCTTATTGATAAACTTGGTAGGTTCTCATTTCACTGAAAGATTGTCCATGACCCAAGGGTGTGTCATGACCTTGACCCAAGGTCATTTTAGAAAGTTCAAGGTCACTGGAAGAAAATTTTCAAAAATCATGTTTGATACATATCTTTTATAGATAAACTTGGTAGGTTCTCATTTCACACAAAGATTGCCCATGACCCAAGGATGTGTCATGACCTTGACCCAAGGTAAATTTGGAAAGTTCAAGGTCACTGGAAGAAAATTTTCATAATTCATGTCCGGTCCATATCTTTCTTATGGATAAACTTGGTAGGTTTTTATTTCACACAAACATTGCCCATGACCCAAGGGTGTGTCATGACCTTAACCCAAGGTCATTTGGGGAAGTTCATGGTCACTGGAAGAAAAATATCATAATTCGTGTCCGGTCCATATCTTTCTTATGGATAAACTTGGTAGATTCTCATTTCACACAAAGATTGCCCATGACCCAAGGGTGTGTCATGACCTTGACCCAAGGTCATTTGAGGTAGTTCAAGGTCACTGGAAGAAAAATATCATAATTCGTGTCCGGTCCATATCTTTCTTATGGATAAACTTGGTAGGTTCTCATTTCACTGAAAGATTGCCCATGACCCAAGGGTGTGTCGTGACCTTGACCCAAGGTCATTTGGGGTAGTTCAAGGTCACTGGAAGAAAAATATCATAATTCGTGTCCGGTCCATATCTTTCTTATGGATAAACTTGGTAGGTTCTCATTTCACTGAAAGATTGCCCATGACCCAAGGGTGTGTCATGACCTTGACCCAAGATTATCTGGGGAAGTTCAAGGTCACTGGAATAAAAATTTCATATTTGGTGTTTGATACATATTTTTATTATGGAAAAACTTACTTCTGAAAAACCCAGCGGGGGGTATTTTGTCCCGTTTGGACAGTTCTAGTTCAATATAGTTTTCTTCTCAAATATGAGCAAGGCTATGATAATTCATATTTATAATGCAGAAGCATCTTCAGATAGTGAAGATTCAAGTATGTGTTCAAATCATAGGTAGTGTAGATTCAAGTTGAAGTTTTCAATACTGAACTGATTTCTGCTTTTTCCTAGCCTTAGTGCTCAGGTAAGCAATGCAGCATATATAGGTCTTTTGTTAGTTTTTTTATTTAAACCTTACAATGTTTATTTACAGAAAATAAAAGAAATTTTAGAAGGATCATCCTGGAGATCATATCCATATGTGGATGAAAAAGCAGGACTTGATGCAGGATCAATCCAAATCTTCACTGATGTGAATGCATTCTAGTAACAATGTTTTTTTCAATGATTTTTTTTAAAAACATTTTTGTAAAGGGTGTCCGAATTATGTTAGGGTATGGGGTCGCCCATTCGGACACGTGGGTTCTCTACGGGTACTCCGTCTTCCTCCCACACTGACCCCCTACTTTTCTTTTTTTCTTGACTTAGCTATACATGTTGTTAATTTGAAGTAGTTGAAGGCTAGTTGTAAGTAGGCTTTGTCGATACCCTGGGGCATTACTGGTTGGAACTTAAGTTCCTTGGCTGCTACGGTAGCCAGGCTGGCTTCGGGAGGAGAAGCTGAAGGGGACTACTTGGAGGCTGCTTTGTCTTATAATTATCTTTTTATTATTATGCCAATGAGATAATAGTTCGTTATATTGGAATTGTGTAGATGAAGTTAAATATGTTCCAGATGTAATATGATTGTTAAATTATAATGACATAAGTATTCCTAGAACATGTAAATTTTTTCCAGCTATTGTAGCAATAATAATTTGTTTAGTCGCCTCTTGGTTATTATAGCTTATTGTGAAATTGGAATGCATTACATGTATATTAACTGACTATATGCAGTGAAAGAAATGAATGTAAAATTATTAATTGCATTTGAAAATGTAAGATAGTGATTTGCCTCTAAAAATGTTAATTGTGATTGGTAAATGTTAAATTGTTATTTAAATTGTTAATGTTAATTAAATCATAATTTGAAATGTTAATTCATGATTTTTTTAATGCAATTGTGAATTGTTGATGCGATATTGTGATTTGTTAATGTGAAATTGTGAATTGTAAATGTGAAATTATTTAATCTCATTGGCAAGTTTTGTGCCCAAAAAAAAAAGAAAAAAAAAAAGCAAACAAAACAAAAAACATAACAAAAAAAAAAAAGAAAAGAAAAGAAAGAAATAACAAAAAAAAAGATTGAAAGAAAAAAAACAGGAAACAAAAATTTAAAAAAATGAAAGAAAATCAAAAAAAAAAAAAAAAAGAAAATCAAAAAAAAAAAAAAAAAAATTAAAAAAAAACTTAAAAAAGGCACAAAAATTTTAATGCTGCCTGCTTGTATTAACATAATTATTTACATGTTAAAATAATTCATCAAATTAAAAAATTAAAAAACAATAATAAATTATATATCTCGGTGTAGTTTCAAGCAGAAGGTTCCAAGCCCTTAAAAGCAGAGGAGAAGTTTTGGTGTTAACTGTCTAATCCGACACATGTGCAATCCTATGAATTCTGAAGTTAAATTTCTTTCCGATTTTACTACTTTCCATTTATTTACACTGTACAATTTGACACCCTGTCTATTCTGACACAAAGTTTATCCCCCAGTGCATGTCGGATTAGACAGGTTTCACTGTATGTATGATCACTAAATGTATGCATGCAGCTGCTCAAACTTTTTTTAAAATCATTGTAAAATATCAATTAATTCATCTGATATGTACAAATGCGTCAATTATCTTATCAAATGATTTCTAGCTATGGTATCTTCAATATTATATCTTGCAGTGTTTTGCTGAAATGAGTGCAAAAAAATTTTTATTTCCATATGCAAATTTGTTGCAGTTTTCAAATGATTATTATTAATTAAGTTGTGTAATTTTGAGTTACAAGTAGAAAAACAAAAAAACTTTTATTCTCATATTTTAACTAGTTTTCATTGTTTTTTTCCACGGTAATTTTAAAAAAAGGGACATATAGATTTGGAGTTCATGCATATTTAAGATTGTATCATAACTTATATGTTTCTACACATTTATTGACTGAGTTTGAGGGCAACATGTGAATTGTCAGACCCAAGAACCAAACTGTCTAATGGCTTCAGGCAGACAGTGTGGTTTGAGGGTCAATTAAATGCATGTTTCACAAGAACATTAGTCAATAATTGTTTTGTTATACCTTTCATTTCATTTTATTTTTTGACAGACATGTATTATGTACTATCTTCCCTGATGTAACATCAAGTCCATCACTGTTGAACACCAACAAACAAAAATGTGATTAAGCTCCGCCCATTCTGTGACGTTAAGCGGTCCAACATCTCACTCAGCGTTCAAACATCAATTTTTATATGCCCACTCAACAAATTAAAACATTAGAAATAGAAGACTTTTTTGTTGTATAGATTTGTACAGGAGCAAATTTTTAAAGATATAACAATATACAATTTCTCATAAAATATAAACTACCACATTTTGGGACTCATTTGATTGACACATCTTTACACTTTCAGAAAGTACTGTAAACTTTACCCTAATGCTGAAGAAATGTAAAAAAAAATTTATGTAATAAAAAAATATTAAAACTAAATAATCCAAAAAATTCAGAAATGTTACAGGCATCAGCTGTGTTTGACAAACACTTCTTGTTTCATTTTGCTTTTAGTAAATGAACATTAGACAATTAAAGGACATGCATGTCCATCTTTACATGTAGTTTTAGATTTTTCACGGTATTATTTGAATTCCATGTCAAGCATTTATCCCCCTCAACATTTTGGCAACCTATTCCAGGCAATCATTTGAACAAAGAACTATATGCGGTATTAACCAACATTTGCCCCCCAAAATCAAACTTTGATGGAGTAAGATTTAATTAAGTCCTTAAACAGGGGAGTATATGCTGACTTCAAAGCACTGAATAATTTCATAAGTAATGACGTCATATGTACGTAATGACGTCACAAATATGACGTAAATTTCAGTTTTTTATGAATTTTGCAGAAAAATGTACATATTTCGTCGATATTTTAAATAAAAGTCACCGAGCGCATGTGTGTTCAGGATAAATATTTTGATATAATGTGTAGAATGATAATATCAATGAAATATGTCAATATTGTTCCTGAACACACATGCGCTCTATAAATTTTAAAGCTTAAATTGTTGAAATTTTGTCCATTTTGTCCTCTTTCTGAAAAAGGATATAAAATCGGACTAGTTTGTGACGTCATAAAAACAGAAATTGTGAATACACTGCTCTGGAACTATAATATTTTCTGTTAACTTATATTTCTCGTACAATTTATTGAATTCAGCACATTTCAGGAAGTTTTCAAAATTTGACTTTTGTGGGGGCAAACATATGCAATATACCGCATATAGTTCTTTGAATCTACACCATACAGGAATAATAAATTCTGCCTTTGCATTTCATTGTTTCTCTGTAAGATTTTCATTGACAAGTTGCTGAGATATCTGAGGACCAGCACAAGGACTATCATGCTCTGCTCTTACAATCTATACAGTACATAAGAATAGACTTCAGGGTTCAAAATGCTGCTGAACTGCAAGGCTGTCATATCAAGCTTCAAAAAGATTTTTTATTTAATATATTGTTTCTATTGGAATACCAGTTCACTTTCTTTGCAGCAGTTGCACATACTGAAATAAAATTTGATATACAAATTTATCATAAATGTCTAGGTCAAGTTTTGTCAAGATAGAGTTTTGCCCCTTGAACATAGAAAATTCCAATTACAGTATTTGGAAGAGGAGGCATAAAGTGTTTTACAAACATCTCTTGTTTTATAGAATATTCATTGTCCTATTTTTTTTTTCCATTTTATTCACAGATTCCTGTCTCATTCAAATGAAATAAATGGAAGTTGAATTGAAATTGAGGTGAAGTTGAACATCTCAGCATGGTTTATGCCTTAAAGATGCACATGAGGGTGCCTTCGTGAAATAATATGGTCACAGTCTTGATATTTGGTTTGTGAACAGATGAAGGACCTCTTTATATTTCTGGAGTCAACATCTTTCTAGTTCCTCCATAATTGCAGCAGAAGAGGAGATAAATGATCTTTGCTTCAAGGTATGAAATTAATTCATGTTGTTCAGTACTTAATGTAACACAAACATGTTACACGTTTTAATTTGGCTACAAACCTATTAAAAAAGTGGGAGGGGATTCAGACTTGTTGTGAATATGGTCAGGGTAAAGTGATTGTCATGGTTCTGTTGTATAAGAGTGGCACTCTATTGATAATTTAGTAATCAGAAGTCTCTGTCGAGACTGAAGCTCTACTGGTTTGTACTTATAACAAAGGAAGAGAAAAGTAGCTTGGGACTTGAAACTTCACAAAGGCAATAAATAGAATGATGATCCTTGATTAAAAGTCTCTTTTTGTGGGAATTAAGATATTGCAACAAGACTTCAACTGTGTAGAGGTAGCTTTAAAAAAATACAATATTTTCAATTTTATTTACCATGGCAAAATAATTCATCAAATTAAAAAATTAAAAAACAATAAAGAAAATTATATATCTCGGTGTAGTCTACTTGCATGCCTTATAATATTAAAATCAGACTAAAACTGTTTTGTGTAGCATTTTGAGAGTATTTTACAAAGATTTCTATTTTTAATAACCACAGCAACAATGTTAATTGTTATACCCTTATAAATATATCTTTCTATATATTTATATTACTAATAAAAAGTCCAACAAAAGAAATGTTTATTACGTCTAACAATTTCACTGTTGACTGGCCTGCCGGTCCAACATAAGAATTGTTAGACCGCAACGTCATTGCTACGTCACAAGTAATTAATCATCGTTCAATATCGGCGACACGGAAATAGCCGAAGTTAAGAGCTGCAAGAGTTGTTGCTACCAGCAAGGTAAGGAAGAAGGGAAGAGTACAGTATGTTTTGTGATAAATAATTAATTTTTGTGATATAGTAAATATAATTAATTTTGTTCTTTCTCAGCTACTGTTTTATACTTTCTGATTAAGCCATAATTTTCCATATAAAGTAATTGATAATATACGAGGGGTTATCAAAAAGTTCATGGACTAGCGCTGTAAAATTAAAACCGCTTTAGGCACATCAATTAATTTTAAAATAACTAGTTAGCATCATCTTTTCTATCTAAAGAATAAACCATAAATCATTAATTTTATTTTCTAATAAATTAGTAATGTTTTTGTAAGCAATGGTATGTCCAGGCGGCGCAACCTCGAACACGACGTTTTTGCGACCCATGTGTAACTGAG